TGGCGGGAGCCAGGACGAGCCTCCGTGCACGCTGGCAAGACTGGCCGCGGGTTCAACGCGGGGCGACGAGACCGCGTCTTCGCCGGGGGAAATAACTTCTCAAAATATTGAAAGAAAGGCTTTCAGAAATTGTACACGGATTAAGGTTTCATTTATTAAAGAACTAAACAAACATGTAAGTGCGAGGCAGTTTTCCGGATTTCTAATGAGGGCGGAAAGGCTTGCTCCTCGAACGAAAACGTTGCGATATCTGAGCTCGACCCAGTTCGGCAGAAAACAAAGCGACGTGCTGAACCCTTGGTTCTGTGCCGTGATGGAATCGGGTCCGAAAACAAGGGATTTTCTTTGTGTTTACTGTGCGGCGTTAAATAAAAACACTCCCTTCGACACGAAACTCCAAAGCTGGGGACTTCCTTAGGCCAGACAGCCCCTGCCGGCCCTGGCTGAGCCGAGGCTACACCCAACAGGGAACACCACCGGCCTCTGCAGGAAAATAACGATTTTACTTCTTACCCTGTGCTGCAGGCATTTCAGAAATGGTCTTTAAATGCTCCCTGGGAAGAAGATTTATTCCCTTTCCAAAGGAACCGCTCCCTGGATCCTTATAAACTGGACTCAGTTTTAATGGTATTCATTAATTTCCCTTGGGAAAAATTTGAATTTCACACAGACCCGGGGCTTTGTTTTTGTAATAAAATATATGCGATTTTCAATTGGTTGCCTTTAATCTTTTTTTCTCCAAAGGCCTCAACGGCATGTTTCTTATATCCTGCCTCCACTTGGATAATCCTGGTTTGGAAAAAATTAATTGTTCATTGTTTTTCTAGATAACTGGGTGCCGCTAAAGGTAATTTCCGTCTTATAGAGAGCCCTAATTAGAATCGCTCCTATTTCTGTGCTGTTTGTTCAAGGGTGTCTGTGACCATCGTGCTAGGGACACTTTGCCGTACCGGCAACGGCCCCGGGTCGCCGTCGGGCCTCCCAGCCGGGGCACCGAGAGGGCAGCGATAAGCTGGGGTTGAACGCCAGGGCCCACGGGGCCGAGCATCCCCAGCCGTGGCTGCAAGGCCGCCAAACGGAGAAAGGGCCACAGACAGCCTCGAAGGTGGCCGTGCCCATGTGCCTGTACGTTGGCGTCTTGACAAGCCACGGCCAGCTTCTCCGCCACCTTGGCCTTTCTCCGGGGACGGGATCATGGCACGAGGGCCTCACGGCCCCGGCGTCGACAAAGCCCGCGTGGATAGCCCCAGACCTGTCTCAGGAGGCGTCAGGGGACCGGGGAGACGGGCTGACGCTGTCACCCTTCCACGTCAGCGCCCCCCAAGCACCAGCAGTGCGGAGGGCTCGGAGCCACTGACCACGTGAGGTGCCGTGGATGTGGTGTCGCCAGCTGATTCCAGTGATCCGTGAAGGGAAGGAAACCTTGCACACCTGTGCGTGTCAGGCCCTGCCCCGGGCCCTCCTGCCATGGGGCCTCGTTTCGCCCTCCCAATGACTGGCACGTCTGGAAGGAACGAAACCCTGCCACGCGTGGACGAGCCTTCACAGCACGGCGCTGGGCAAAAGGAGCCGGCTGTGAAAGGCCACGTGGAGTACGAGTCCCTTTGCGGGAAATGTCCCACCCGGCCAATCTGCGGGAACACAAAGTAGGTGAGTGGTTTCCAGGGGCGGGTTCTAGGTGTTTCACGATCTCCAAGATGATTTCTTCTTTGATGCGCATCGCTGGGAAGTATTTTCTAACTCTCGAGCACACGGGGAGCTGTTTTTACATTAACTGCTTTTCAGTGACTGGTGCGGGCGCCTGGGTGGCGCAGTCAGTTAAGCGTCCGACTTCAGCCAGGTCACGATCTCGCGGTCCGTGAGTTCGAGCCCCGCGTCGGGCTCTGTGCTGGCAGCTCAGAGCCTGGAGCCTGTTTCCGATTCTGTGTCTCCCTCTCTCTCTGCCCCTCCCCCGTTCATGCTCTGTCTCTCTCTGTCTCAAAAATAAATAAACGTTAAAAAAAATTAAAAAAAATAATAAACGAGATAAATAATATGTAAATATATAAATAAAGATAAAGTCATAGCTAACTTCATAAAGCTCCAGGGGATCCGTGCACACAAACCTCGCTCAATCCTAGGAGGCAGGCGCAAGTGTCAGCTCCATTTTTAAGCTGAGAAACTGAGGCGGACAGGGAAAGTTGCTCAAAAGCACAAAGTGAGTAAGGGCCAAGGAGGCAGACTCTGCGGCCCGAGGTCTTGCCCATTCCGGGGTCCTGAGCGTGGACAGTTCAGGACCTCGTGCCGGCAGGCTGCGGAGGGAGCAGAACCATCCTAACACAGAAAGTTTCACTAATGAATTGACCCTTTACAAAACTGGGCTCCGCTTAAATACCCCTCCCAGTGTGCTTCCCGAACCCCTCTGTCTCCCCCAACTCTCTCTCACGCACACGCATGACGTTGAAAGTCCTGGGAACCCGGCTGTGAAGCTGTGGACGGACGGCGCAAGTCAACTGCACAGTCAGTTGCAAATCTCAGGAACAACGCAAGATTCCAGAAAGCCCGTGAATGGGATACTAGGGGAGGTTCTGATGGCTCCCAGAGCTGCCAGCAAGTGCGGGAGGGCCTGGCGGTGCCCTGGAGGCTGTGACAGGACAGGACGGCACTCCAACAAGGAGTGACTTATGGAAGGATTAGGAGAGGCTCTTGGGGAAATTGAATGGGCCCCTGTACAGCACGGCAAACCAATCCTCTGCATAACAGAGCTGGGAACATCGCTCCCAAGCAATTAGTTGGAAAAATCAGGGCCCCGCCAAATCAACACCGATTCTTTGCTCGTTCTACACATTAATGTACAATTGCGTTCACAACCTAAAACTCCTCGAAGAGAAGACAAATTCAAGATATTTCCCACTTTCCCCATTTTTCAAGATAAATTCTCTTTTGCCCCATTGTGGACCCTATTACTACTTGCTTCTCGTTTTAAGTGAACTCCCTTAAGGGACCTTTCTTTCCAGTTCAATTATCGCCTTAAACTTGACAACAGTCAACGGCAGGCAATGAGGTCATCCCCCATTATCCTAGGTGCAGAAGTTCTGCCCACACGTCCACTTGGGCCACGAGGAAGCCCCTCCGTTTATTTCATACGCAGTTCGTATCCAAGATCCAGACCAAAAAACACCCAACTAACCAGCACTTAAGCATTTGCTTAACAGTGTTAACACTTTGTTCTTTGACATCTTTTATAAAGGCGAGAACTTGGAGTTGGGTTTCCCCCCCCCCCGCGGGCAGGGGGGTGGGGGAGGATGTCAAACTTGCGTCCATTTGCCAAACTTGTCCAGAGAGAGGCTGCATGAACAGGTGAATAACAGTGAATGGGTGAATGGACCTTTCCAAGGCTTCCCATGACAAAGCAATGCCCCCACAATTTGCTTTTGGGGTGTGCGTGGGTGAACGTGCATTTAAATTTAGACCCAACAAAAACACTCTCCTGAGAAACTGATATCCTTCCCCCTTTCGGAATATGGGAACCTTGAAAGTCAAAATCTTTTGAGCTGCAAGAAAGCTCAAAAACAGATTTCCTTTTGATGTTTATTTCTATGTTGATAACGTTTTGTATACATGCTTTTTATTTTAAGCCACCAGAAGTTGTTTTCAAGGTGCATGCTTCATTTGACTTGACCTGGTTTGTACAAGAGTCAACAAATCAGGAAAAAAGGGAAAGATTAGGGATGCTGACATTTCCTAGGGGACTCAGTGACGTGGGCCCACTAGACGGAGGGGACACGCTCCCTGACCCCGCCGGCAGGGCACTGGACAGGGAGTATGGGGTTCTGAAGAGACGTTAGTCCCCTGAGAAAAAGTCTCGAGGCTCTAATCGAATCACTGCGCGACTCCCCCACCCTGCCAAGAAAACTTGCAGCTTGGGGAAAAAGAGGAGGGG